TAGGTCTTCCATATATTTCCAGTGCTATGAATTTTTCCTTCAACAGTCATTTCCCAGTTAACCCCTGGCTCATCTCCTGACTCTTCCAATTTTCCTCCTTCACTTTGAATTGCGAAGCCCAGAATGGACATCCACCATCCACAAAGGCTTGACCAGCTCAGGACTGGCTCTGAAGAAAAGGTCTGTGGGACTATTACACAAAAAGCTGAGGAATTAGGACCCTGTGGGCCAGACTTTTCTCTGTGGTCCCAGGCTTTGGAGGAGCCTAGAGGACAGGGGCAGGAGGCAGAGCTGCCCCAGCCAGCTGGTCCTGCCTAGATTTGAGTTCTTGTAAAGTGTCTTTCTATTGTGGGTCTTCTGGTGACTACAGTAAGCTGATCTTTGGAGCAGGGACCAGGCTGGCTGTGCACCCATGTGAGTATGACCATGCAAATGACTAGGTCTAAAGTAACTGACTACTTGCCTACGAGAAAACAGGCAATGATTTATGGCAAACTCGGGGCTATATGAAACACTCATTTTCCATCTCTACAAGCTCTCTTGATGACTTAAAACGTTCCCATTTCTCATATTAAAGATGGAAGTGCCAAAAGCCAATTGAGTAAATGAAAATCTGTACAGAATAATTTACAGAAACATAAAAAGAGTTCCAGATACTTTCAAGCGAAGCTGATGATATCAGCACCAGATAATCTGAACATTCAGGAAATTAGCTAAGTGCCCTTGGGGGAAAGAGGTTAGTTAATGGCAAACACAAATTCTCTTCTAATGCAGCAGGTAGCTAAATTCCCTGGACTGGCTAATGAGCAAGGTACCAGGATGCCTGCTCATAGAATCTTCCTCTCTTGAGCTTAGTGGAGTTTTGAACCCTCTCCCAAGGGTGAAAGTGACACAAACTCCTATCTGAAGAGCTATTGTTGCTGTTGTTGTTTGCCGTCCGTCAGCCCCCACACATGGCAACCTTATGTATAACAGAACAAAACACTGCATGTGAAATAATGAGGTGTAGAAGCAGTATTGGGTAGGGCTCATAACACAGCTTGGGGGGCTAATAGACCTGGGGAAAATTCTGGTTTTACCCTCACCAGCTGCACTTAAGAAAGCCTCCACTTTCTCAAGAGCAAAATGACAATAACCACATCATAATAATATGAGACAAATGCCTGACATATAAAACTAACCAAACTAAACCTGTTGCTGTCGAGTCAATTCCGACTCATAGCGATCCTATAGGACAGAGTAGAACTGCCCCATAGAGATTCTGAGGCGTGCCTGGTGGATTCAAACTGCAAACCTTTACAGTTAGCAGCCATAGCACTTAACCATTACACCACCAGGGTTTCTTGCCTGACATACAGCAAGTAATAAATAATAGCTTTCTAAAATAATTATTGTCATTATCATCATCATCAAGCCTTTGTTATGCTAAGGTATACATTATTGTAAAGGGAAAGAGGAAAGTCTTCCTTGGGAATTAGGAGATCTAAGAAACAGACACCCAGGGAACCATTTAGGATGGTGCTCTGAGACCCTGGTAATCCCAGCAGGTTAGCAACAGGAGGGTTATCGAAAAGACCTTACCTGCAGTGGGGGTATAGCAGTGATACCAAGGTGATCTTTGGAGCAGGGACCAGACTGAGAGTCCAGCCAAGTAAGTAGAGTGGGGCAAGGGTAGACATTGACAATGAATTCTCCTTTGTCCAAGATGCTGAGTTGAGCCCAGGTGTTTTCTCCTGAAGGACCCCAAATGATTTTTTCCACCCATCCCTAGAAAATCCTCCCATCCAACACTCAGTGCTTCGGAGACATTATCCTTAGGCTGGGACCTTAGGAATAATGAGGCAGGTAATGAGCAAGTAGTCCTGGACCTTCCAAGAGAAGATGTAAGATACTGTTGCCCTGAACAAAAGTTTTTGCATCCTTAAAGTCTTAGGTTATTGAAAATCACCACCTCCAGCCCAGGGCACCATGGCAGGATGGAGCAGGAGAAGGATTGAACCACCAGAGACAAAATCTAAATCCAGAAGAGCAGAAGGTCTAAATCCTCCTGTGTGATCCTCCTGTTCCCTGTGGGAGATCAGTGCTTCTCCTATTTAAGGAGTAGGTAGATAGGTCCAGTGAGTTTCGGTAATGGTGTCACCTGTAGTGTGAATACTGGAGCAATGACTGGTAAACTCACATTTGGGAAAGGGACCCAAGTGACCGTAAAATCTGGTGATTCATCCCAGGTAGCACCATTTGCAACCCCATAGGACAGTGTCACAATCTTTTCCCTGGGAATATCATCTATGACTATGGTGAGGCTAACGGTGGGTGTTATAACCAATTATCTTACAGAGGCTTCTGTAAAGGGAAAAAAGGTCACTATCAATCTTGAATATCTATATTTCTCTAGGTCAAACACATTAAAGTTTGACTTTAATTGTTCAATTAATATTTTTTAATGCCTTCTTCGTGGCCATCACTCTGTAAAACGTTAGACTGAGTATAAAGAAGTCCAAGACAGATGCCTGACCTGTCCTCAGATAATGTAAAAACTAGCCAAAGGGACAGGATTATTGTAAATTTAGCTCCATGAAAACTATTTTAATGCTAACCAGTTGATGATGTCGATAGGCACAACAGAGACTTAGAGGAATGGGATCTTGGTTAGAAAGTTGGCCTAGGTGGAGAATGTTTTATGCAAGAGAAAGAATTCATTGAGCCCTGAAGGATGGGTAAGATCTGTATCGGCAAAGAAAGGTAAGAAGGGGAGTTCCAGACATAAAGAAAAATGTCATGATGTTCGGAATGAACATGACGCGTGCATTTTGGCCTAATAAAGTTGATAATAATGTTGGGTGAGTGATGAGGTGAAGAAGATGTCTTCTTAATAATGGAGAAAAGAAATACGATGGCCTTCAAGAGAATTAGGGCCAAAGCCAGCCACTATGAAACTGGGAATCTCATTTACAATGCCAGCCAGATGTGCAGATGAGAGTGGCCAACTCCCCATGGACAGCTTATGGCCTGGGGACCTCCCCTCTCCTTCTTCAGCAGGCTTTAACAGAGGTTACCCCACCACTAGGAGGAGGGGAAACCCAAGGGTTTCTGTAGTGGCAATATTGGGAGTGGTATGCAGGTGTTGCCTCCAAGTTGCAATTTGGCAAAGGAACCAGGGTTACCATTACTCCCGGTGAGTGTGCCTGTGCTCATGGGCTCTGGGACTCACCAGAGCCTCAGCAGGACCCAGAGTCAGTGTAGTAACCCACATTTCCAGGTTCCCAGTGCCTGACTGCAAAGCACAGATTTAGTGGCAAAGGAACTTTCAATCACTGCTACACCCCTGGGGATCTAAAGCATTCGGATGTGTTACTGCATGGTTTTGAATTAAACAGATGTATTAGAACCTGGAGTAGCTGAACTTCTACATTGAAAAATTGATTCAATCTTGCATAGTATGTCTGGGAGCACCTTATCCTCTGCCTTCCCCTCAGCCTGTATTCCCTCAGCACTTGCACACCCTGCCAAATCCCCGTCCCCTGCTCTGACCGTGACAGGCACTGATGGCTGACTAATCCGTTGGGATGTTTAGGATATGGTGATGGTGCTAATGGCCTCCTGTCTCTCCCCTCCAGTAAGAGTTAGACTTTGGGGCCTTAACCCACAGTGATGACAGCCCTCCCCTCACCCCCGGGTATGTGGAAACTAGAAGGGAGTAGGCAGAATCCTTTGGGCCAAGGCTTTAGATCTCTCAGATGGAACCATGGAGCCCACCCCCTGCCCTGCTGCTCCAGGTCCCCCCACCACCACCACCACTGCAGGCAGCTCTGACTTCAATTCAGCATCCCAAGGCCGTGCAAAGGGCTGGTTTCCCTGGTTTCAGGTCCAGCTGGACATCTGTGCTTCCAAGGCTACCCTCGCTGGCTTAACAAGTAGGGTGCATCTCTAGGTCTGAGAAAACTCACCCATGTGGTGAGGAGCTGAGGGAGCTGAGAACCACAGGGGCAAGAAGCTCTAATCCCAACCTTGCTGTAAACCTTCTGTGTGGCCTCAAGCCTTTTAATCCTCCCAGCAAACCTCTGCTTCCTTCTCTAAAGGCAGGAGGTCGGAAAGAATAAGCAATGAGAATCACATTAACAACACAAAATCCTACGGAAATACTGAAGAATGATTCCCAGCACTAAGGAAAAGCCTCCAACAACTCTTGCTTCCTGGGGTGACAAGTAGAAACTATGACCGTTAATTGGTAGCACGTTAATTGGCAACACCCTGGCAAATCTTACTAGCTACAACTACTAACGTTTGCTCAGTACTTTACAGTTGGTTAAATATAATTTTATATGGAGAATCTCTCACTGGTTTCTCAGAAGAGCCTGGAAGTTAGATGAGATAGCACCCCATTTTACAGATGAAACCCCTTATGGGGTCTCATGGAGCTGGTGTGACTTGCTTAAAGCCCCACATCTAGTACATGATAGAGCCAGGGCTTGGACTCAGGTGTTCTGATTTGTATTCCAAACCCTTTATTGATGTGACAGAAATCTCCTGGTGATGTGATAGATATTCTAACTTAATGACAACATATTGTAAACATCCAGCTCCTGTCCAAAGCCCAGCCTAGGTGAGGGAGACTACCCAGAGCCCAAGATGGAACGGTTGTCTTTGTTGTGCCTTTTTCTATGCTTGCTCTTGCCTTCTGCCAGAAGTATGTTGTTGTTTACTGGGCCTGTTGAGGTTTCAGAGAAGTTCCTATTAAGTACCAGAAAGAGCAGTATCATTAAGCAAGGCTGCATTTCTGCAGGGTGTGGCAGAGAATGTGGCCTCTGGCCACAACTCGTGGCTGTGCCTGTCCCTAAATTCAAATCCGTTGTGAGCAGCTGGTTTCTAAGATGTTCTTTCTCATCTGGAAGCCTGAGAATATGTCACCAGCCCCATCACTGATACCTGGACTCCAGTCTGGGTGGGGGCAAGGAGGGAAGCAACAGCATCTCCTAACCCTGTGTTCTCTTGACCCACAGATATCCAAGGCTCTGACCCTGCTGTGTACCAGCTGAGAGGCTCTAAGTCCAGCAACATTTCTGTCTGCCTGTTCACCGATTTTAATTCTAGCCTCAGTGTGACAAAAACCTCAGAGCCCTCAGTGTTCTTCACAGACAAAACTGCAGTGGACATGAAGGCCATAGGGTCCAGGAGCAATGGGGCCCTGGCCTGGAGTAACAACAAGAATTTTGCATGTAATGAAACCTTCTACCAAGGCAGCTTCTACTCTAGCTCAGGTCAGTGCAGTGTAGGATCTGGGGAAGCTGTGTCTCCTCACTTCCAGAGGCCTGGCTCTGCCTGGGGCACAGGTCACTGAGGTCTAAAGGCTGTTCTGATGAGTGGTCTCAGCCTCATCAATTGTCAGCAAATTGCCTTCCCTCTTTTCACTAAGGACCAGCAAGCCTCATCCTGGCAGTCTGCACAATGTCCTGGGCAAAAAGCAGATGGGGAGAAGGAGATGGGAGAGGCTTCTGGCCCAGCCTTGGCCTCACCCCTCCTGTACAGGCTCTAGGATTCTCACTCGCTGCCTGTGCATGGGCTGTTTGCCCCTGACTGCTCTCCCAGGCTCCAGTGCCCCTTCTCCAGGAGCTTCCCCTTCTCTCTCTCTATTCCAAAAGATCTTTCCCAGTTCCTCACCTCACTCATTCATTCACTCAGCATTCATTGTGCCCCCTACAAGGTGCCAGCTGCTGGAGTGAAGGAGCAAACAAGTCAGATGAGAGGTCTGTCCTGAGGAAGCTCCAGTCCAGTGAGGGGAGACCATCCATAAGCCAAAGAAGAACTAGATAACTTCAGATTGTAACATGTGCTTCAACATGGGGTTGAGGAGACAGCCACTTGAGGGACAGAGATCAGGGAAGGACTGTCTAAAGTGCTGTATGAGCTGGAGCTTAATGGATAAGAAGGTACTAGCCACATGAAGGGCAGAAAGAGTATCCTATGGAGGCTCTGAGACAGGGACAGAAATGGGTGCAGCACAGTGAGAGTGGAGAAGAGTGGTAGAAAATGAGGTTGAAGATGTAGGCAAGGGCTAGATCAGAGGGTCTTGTAGGTCAGAGAGAGGACAGATACTATTCAAATTGACTGGGAAGCAGTCGATTGGTTTTAAACAGGGAGCGACATCTAATTTATATTTTTAAAAGACCTCTCTGACTGCAGAGTGGAGAATGGATTGTAGGAGCAAAGAGTGGAGGCAGAAAGGAAGTTATTACAGCAGAGAGATGATGGAGATTGGGCCAGGTGGTGGCAGGGGAATTAAGAAAGCGGCCAGCACCTTTGTGTTTGCAGGTATGAGAGGAAAGGAGGGGATCAAGGAAGATGGCTATGTTTTATGCCTGAGCAACAGAGTCAATGATAGCACCATTTTTTGAGATGAAGAAAACAGCAAATTGGGGAGGCAGTGATCAAAGCTTTTGGAACACATGAAATTATCTGTACTCCTTATGGCACTTGTCACTGTGTACATGTCTTACTGCTCCTACTAGACGGGAATCTGTCCAGGGGCAGGGTCTAGTTCCTGTTACCTAGTGTCATATAACATGTGCTTTGCACAATCAGTGTTTGTTGAGTGAATGAAATGGTGCCAGGGAAGCCAGGGCCAGTGGCTGTCCCCAGCAGGTGCCCCTATGCCATGAGTTCCTTCCAGATCTTGCCACAAGGGAAAACTGTAGCCTGATGTTCACCTGCCCAAGTCCTAGGAGGTCTGGGATGGGAGAGTCGGCTAGGCTCTGGACTCTTAAGAAATTGTCTTTGCTTCTGTTTTTAGGAATTGTCTGTGATGCCACGTTGATGGAGAAAAGCTTTGAAACAGGTAAGAGAAGACTCTTGCCTGACTTCACACAAGGCTAGGGAGGCTATGAATCCATAATAACTCTGACTGGATAGGGGAGGTGGAAGGAATTAGTGGATCTGGGAATAAAGTTATGAGGAATGGGAACAGCAGTTCAAGTCCTGCTCAGACCTAACTGGGGTCTTTCTTGAATTCCCAAGCAACTCTCACCACCTCTAATTTTCTTTTCCATTCTAAGTACTTTGAGGATGAGTCTGTAGTTTTACAAGACAAATGTCTCACTCCTAGGCCTCTGCATTCCTTTCAATAGCTCCACTGTCAGGAGAGCCAAAGAGAGCTTCTGGTTGACACACTGGTGAAATTTATGACTCTCTTATTTTATGTACAGCTCTAAACTAATCTCCTGAGGTCATCTCCCCTCCATATCCAGGGTTATTTACCTTCATTCAAGAAAAGCAATGGTACTCACACAGGCCATGATACTGTCTATGGGCTCCCCCAACCCCTCCACACCACCTACCCTGAGCCATATTATTTCCATTTGAGCTATTCTTATGAGTCATCCCTTCTGTGGTTTAGCCACTAGATTCTTACCAAGGGGCCCAGACCCAAGACATTACAGATGAGTTCAGAGCACCTGCCCTACCCCTAACCCTACAGAAAATAACGGTAAGTCCAGCTGGTGGTATTCTTTTGAGATAAAATACTGTTAAACCTGGAGGGATACACAAATATCTGTGTGTAAGGGGGTGTTGACAGCTCAAAGGGAGAGGCAGATCCAGGAGCTGAAGCCCACCACCAGCCATCCCCCCCTGCTTTGGGGAAAGCCACTGGTGTGTCATAATGGAGCTGTGCAGAGGTGTACATGCTGTGGTCTCTTGGTCTTGCAGATATGAACCTAAACTTTCAAAACCTGTCTGTGATCGGGCTCCGCATACTTCTCCTGAAAGTGGTTGCATTTAACCTGCTCATGACTCTGCAGCTATGGTCCAGCTGAGGTGAGTGGGCATGTCAGCTGGGGGTGGGGTGGAGGGGGGCGTGGGTCTTGGGTGGGTCCCCAAGCCCCAGACCAAACCTCCCCCAGGGTCTTGCTTTTAAGTCCTAAATATGGGCCACTAAAACTTCCATTTCTTCCTGTTACAAGTTCTCTTGTTAATAACAATGGCCCAAAACATTTGCATGACACAATACACTCATTGCAATCACCTCAGTTGAAACACATCTCCCCTACGAGGTATGAAAATTATCCTCATTTTAGAAACGAAGAAACAACTGAGGCCAAGTGGCAGCAAGAGCCACACAGCTAGTGAATAGAAAAAAGAGAAACTCAGGGCCTGGGTTCTTAGCCCACATGCCTTCTGTTGAATCTCTTTCACTGGGTGACCTAGACAGGCCCCAATGCCTTTCTTCGTCCTCTTACCCCAGTACAGCTCTCTCAGCTCAGTAGTGAGGAGACATTGTACTCCTATTATGCCCCAGTCCTGCCTAGATCCTCCACACCCTTCTCCCTCAGTGTCCCTGGTCACCCTAATGACAAGTGCATTTTGTTCCATCACCATCAGTAAGAACTCCAGGTCCATTTGCTCCTAGAACTCTACAAAGGGAAGTATGTGGTGTGTGGCACATCCCCTAACAGTCCCGGGTCCTCCTTCTCAGTGTCCGCCGTGACTTCTGTTCTTGTTCATCCCAGGTCACCAAGACTGTAGGAAATCCCATGCTCCCTCGCTGCTTCTCCTTGTCGTCCATCCTCTCCCTCTTCAAGCAGAGAAGCGAACTCTCTGCCCTCCATGGAAGAGAAGGCTCCCACTGACTCTCTGGCCTCACCTGGCAATGCCACCAACTGGATCCTACCCAGCACTGGTGATCAAGATGCTGAAGAGCTACCAAATATACTGCAAGTCCCTCTGTTCCCTTATTGCTGCTTTTCACCACCCAGTGTTCTCAGCAAGGGGAGGGCTGCTGCCACCTCTCCTGGCTGTGGAGAAACACCCTCCTCCCAAGAGATTGTGACAGGCCCCCAGTAGGTTCTCTTGAACCCTACCTCCTGGAAATGTTTTGAGGAGTTTGTATTTTTTTAAATAGTGTTCATACAGAAATACATATTACTCTTCTTCCAAAGAAGTCAGAAAAGTTATCTCATTATCCAGGCCCTGTTATGCCATGTATCTGAGTCATGTTGTATATTCTGCTACCCACAGCTTCATTAAAAGTAATTTGGAAGAGCAAAGGCTGTGCTCCTGATTGACTGGGTTCGGTTGGGATCATTTTCTGGTTGCTGTTGGTCACTGGCTAGGCAGAAGGAAACCAGCGCATTTGTCCATGATGCCACAAGCAGGGAGCCTTATTCAGCAAGCTGCTTAAGTCAACCTCTTCTCAGAATCACCTCTGAAAGAGTCCGCTTTGAAAGCAGTGCTGGGGACCAGGCAAACCACTTCTAACCAAGGCCCCTGCTCTTCTGTTTTCATGCCACACCACTGGGCCACGCATAGCAGGAGGCCCAAGCACATGGGTGATAGTGACCTGTAGTTGACATTTGGCATTCAGGGGCCACAGGGCAAATCTCCCCAAAGCCCCATCCACTGTTTCTCTCTCTCCAGGAACATTCCCTTTGCCTCGCCTCTCAGACTGGATTTCTGTTGACGCTGTGCAATTTCCCCCACATTCATGGCTGGGAACCACCTACTACTCCACTGTCCGTATCCCACACAGTGCCCAGCCCCTTGGGGTGCCCAGTCCAGGAGCACAGTGAGGGGAAGGTAACCTTGTCAGGACTTTATACTCCCACCATCTGGATATGAGAATGAGGAAAGGGGACATGAGCTCTCTCCCCACAAGCCCAAAGACTCAGCCAAGGAGAGGAGATTTCAAACCCACACCTAGAAGACAAGAGATGGGATTCCCTGGGGCCCCACAGGGCACTATCTCTATCCTAGTACCTTTCCAAAGCTGTGAGAGCACCTTTCCCAGGGTCATGGACGCCAGTGAAAACACACTTTAGAGACTGCTCCACCACCTAGCAATTGTCCCTACCAAGGCCAAAACAGAGTACGTACTCATTCCTGGGAGTTCTATCCCCAAATACCTCTCTGGTTCATCTATGGGTCTAACCACCAGCCAGAAATACAAATCCTTCCCGCTACAACTCAGGCAAGGATGGAGCCATCTTGGGCACACTCCTCCCCTCTATGAGCTTCAGGGTCACTGCCTACAAATGTCAGCTGGAACCAGAGGCCACTGCCAGTTCAGTGTATCTCGAACTCTGTGACCCCTGTAGAACTAAGAACCACCATCCCATCTCCTTGTTGGCCCCAACAAGGGTAGTCACAGAACCCTCGGTTCCTCAAGCTGCCTCCTCTTCAGCCTAAATACGGGTCCCTTTTTAAGACCACTGAAGGGAAAGAGGGGCAGTGGTGGTTCAGTGGTAGAATTCTTACCTTCCATGTGGGAGGCTTGGGTTAGATTCCCGGCCAATACACCTCATGTGCAGCTACCACCCATCTGTTGGTGGAAGTCTGTGTGTTGCTATGATGCTGAACAGATTTCAGGGGAGCTTCCAGACTAAATGAACTAGGAAGAAAGGCCTGGTGATCCACTTTCAATAACCAGCCAATGAAAACCGTAAGGATCAAAACAGTCTGATCTGCAACCGATCGTGGTGATGGCACAGGACTCGGCAGCGTTTCATTCCGTTATGCATGGGGTTGCCATGAGTCGGGGGCCGACTCTATGGCAGTCAGCTAACAATAACAACAGAGGGAAAGAAAGACTCAGAGGAAATCACATCACAGCAGGGTCACTCACACGCAGGAGTGCCGGTGCTGTCTTCCCAAAGATGGGATTTGCCACCTTTAGGGAACTCTGGGAAGGCTTCATGCTCAAAACTGTCTTCTCATCAGTCTGACACACTGCCAGAGAGTTCACCAGTGGGAATTTCTTTTAATTAAAACATTCTCGTCTCCTTATTAAATGAAAATTCCCCTGGGAGGGTTAATAGAGCAAGCCTTTATCAACTGTTAAAAACTTAGGGCAAATTTGTTTGTCTTTTTTTTTTTTTCCTAAAGTGGTAATTCACTTTTCTCTGTATAAAAAAGATGGAGGCAAGGAAGTATGAGTGGCTGGGGAGGAAGGCCTGCTCCTGAGAGGCGGCTGCACTGATGCCAAAGGTGAAGGGGACTTTGGTGCTTGGGGCAAGGGTCAGCAGCAGAGGTCTTGGAAGGCAGAGAAGGCCAAAGACAGATTCCTCCAGGAGGCGCGGAGGAGGCCAAACTGAAGAAAACCTAAGGGAGGCTGGAGAGTCGTGCCAGCCCAGAGTCCTCAGATGGCAGGGCTAGGGTTCACTGGTCCCTGAAGGCCGCCTAAGGTGATGTGAGGTGATACAGCAGGAGCTGGGGATCGGCCCACACACCTGGAGGGAGAAAGGCCACCTCCTTTCAGGTCCAGCCTAAGCTGAGGTGCAGGGTGAGCAGGTATTGGGCAGCGTGGTGGCCAGGGAACGAGCAGGATCAGCACTGCCCCCAACAGACCAATTGCCGTCGAGTCGACTACGACTCATGGTGACCCCATGTATATCAGAGTAGAACTGTGCTCCATAGACTTTTCAATGGCTGATTTTTCAGAAGCAGATCGCCAGGACTTTCTTCTGAGTTACCTCCTCAAACCACCAACTTTTGGGTCAGCAGCTGAGCACGTTAATCATTTGCACCTCCCAGGGACTCCCACCTCCTGATAAACCTCTATCTAAAACCAATAGTTCCTCACACCCAGGCAGGACCGTCCCTCAGGTCTGAGGCAGTCAAACCTGAGGCCAGTTAGAGCTGAGGTCAGAGAAGCAGACCAGGAGCAAGTGGGTGGGTGCAGGGTGAGGTTAGCAAGACCATTCCTCTTTGATCACTGTGTTCTCATACCTGGCTCCAGGCCCCAACCTCGGATATCAGGGAATTAAAGTAGCCTTGTGGGAGACCCAGGGGAAGGGCTCCTGTGCCCACTGGGAAGGTAAGTGCTGAGCCGAGGGCTGCTGCAGTACAGCCCCTCAGTACAGAGGGCCCAGCAGTAAGGGACTGGGCACTGTTTAGTCTGAAGGGACAAGCCAGCTGAGGAAACCTGGAAACATGGTCATCAAGTCCATATAAGAAGGTCTGAGGAGCCACCGTCCCTGGGAGCCAGGGTGTGGGCTGAGCTACAGCCGGACCAGCATGGATTCAGCCTCGGGGAGGGCAGACAGACAACCCAGCAGTGAACATGTTACAATGGCCGGCTGTACAATGGGTTTCTCTGGACAGATGCCCTACTGTCCCAAAAGGCTTACGGGCAGTCTAGCCCTGGAGGCAGAATAAAGAACCATATGACTTCTCATGGCCCCAAGCCTAATACTCTAGAGGATTCTCTGAAACTTCACCCAGAGAACTTCCCTTTTCACAGTCCAGTCAGAGAAAGGGTAGGCTCAGCAAGTATGTGCTTCAGGGTCTTCAGTTCCAACAGAGCCATCCCTCTGCTGTTATCCATCACCAAGTCTTGGAGCATTGCTTATCTTCTTCATTCCCTCATAAAATCTAAGGCCCCTGGGTCACATGTAAAGCCCTTAACAGACATCACCTTAGTTATCACATAACATCCAGCAAGGAAGTCCACTAGACTATGCACTCCTTGAGATGTGTCCACAACATCTAGCACAGTGCCTGGCACGTAGTAGATGCTTAACACATACTTCACCGTGAAAGGATAATCAGTGGGATTAGGCATTGAAGAGTAAGTTGAGCTGAGTTGAGAAGAGGTGAAAAGCACAAGAGAAAGGAAGCTGGGGATTAATAGAGGATGCGGCTCGATGAAACTCTATTTCATAGTTTTGTCAAGAGCTAAGAGTAACCTGTCAAGACCTATCAGGAGAGGAAACAGCCTAAGTGTCTATCAACCGAGGAATGGGTAAACAAAATGTGGTACATAAATACAACGGTGTACCACTCAGCCATAAAGAGAAATGAAGTCTTGAGTCTTGATCCATGCTGCAACATGGATGAACCTCAAAAACCTTATCCTCCATAAAATGAGTCAACCACAAAAGGATAACTATTGCATAATCTCACTTATAAGAAATAACAATACACAAATGTATAGAGAAAAAAAATTATCAGTGGTCACCAGGGGTGGGAGGGAGGGGGAAAGGGAGAGTTTTTGGTTAGTGTTTGTGTCTAGCGATGGGAAATTCGGCAATGATTATGGGTGGTGGTTGCACAGCATGTTTAATGTAATTGATATCACTAAATTGTACACCTGAAAAATGTTACATTGGTAAATGTCATACTGTATATATTTTTACAACAATTTTTTTTAAAAAATAACTGTCAGGAGAAGCAACACGTGAGTGGTGGCCTCTTGGCCAGGGCAAACTCCAGGCAAGTACTCATCTAGAAAGGCCTAGAGGACAGGTACTCTGGGGAAGCACACAGAGCTCCCCTTCACTGTGTGGCCATCCCAAGGTGCAGGTACAAAGGTGGCGTTGCTGTTCCACCTCACTGTCTCAAATGCACCACACTAAAACCCCTTCTCCAATCTACTTCCTGGAGCAAGTGTGGGAACAAGAGCTTCTGGCTGAGATGGGTGGGTCTGGGAGAAGCAGCCACGTGGGTGCCTGGGGCTGTCATTCTTGTTTATAAACACCTGATTGCTGGCCAGGCTGCAGGACCACCGTGCCCGCCCCTGTGTAGAGCCCACCTGGGCAACAGTGTGGGGTTCCCAGGCCTCGTTTCACACAGCCACAGACATGCGTATGGTTTCCTCTGAGTAGCATATGTAGAGCTACATTTTTTGAAATTAATTTACAGGTCAGACGTTGAGTCAGTAGCCAGAAGTAGGGCAGGAAGTGGA